ACTGCTACTGCTACTGCTACTACTACTACTACTACTGCTGCTATTACTACTCCTGTTGTGATTACTATTACTTTCAACAATAGTAGTGTTAATAACAGTAATCGTCAGGACCACTCCTCAACAGGAACCCTTCCAGTTCTGTTGGTTTTGTCGCTGCGAGGTGCGGATTCCCAGGTTGTCTAGGGTTTAGGGTGGACACTGAAGTTTGCATAGCATCCGAATCCGTGAACCCTAAGAGCACTGAAGCCCTAAACTTACGCCAGCAGAAGCTTCTAATTTCTTGCAGAAACCATCACCTTACCCCCATAACCTTCTTCCCTTCTTCCATGGAGCGAACAGTGAAGTATAGAACCTGAAGGCAGATATCAGATTTCCATGTTGTTGTACCCGCTAAACCCCTAAACCACAAACCTCAGGTTGCAAACCCTGAACCCTCCCTTAACCCCAACCCCAAAACTAGGGGTGCTGTGTTCCTTCGGTCTCCTCCCTTGCTGCCAGGAGGATTTGGCGACAAGGAAACAGGCATTTGCCTAGGGTGATTTGACGGGTTTGGAAGGGTTTAGGGTTTGGGATTGTGTTCTTCTTAAGGAGCTTAGTTGAAGTGGCTTTTTGAACGAAAAAGTTTTTTTTTTTACTAGGGCTTAGTATTAGTTCTGGTTCATGCAGCTGCCGATTCCTCACCCCAAATCCCAGTGGCACACCTGCACAATTCAAACGCACAGATCATGAGCTGAAGCCTCTGGAGAGCCTTGAAGCCATTGCCATACGGCATGCTAGTAGCTTGCTTCCTTTTCGCCTTAGATCCTGAACCCTCTAAGCCCTAACTCGAGGCCCAGGAGGAGTCAGGTTGTTTTTCACATAATTTGAGCAACATGGTGGTTTTGCAAGGCTGTCCACGCGTTACAGTACCAGTCTGTCCCGTGCTGTTGAACTCCTCTAGTTGTTACTCAGCTTCTCACGTAGAGTCAACAGTTCAGGGAGTTAGGGATTTATTGGGTGTTTGTTAAGGGATTTAGTTTAAGTTATCACGCTAAAACAGAAACCACATTATTTACTATAGGTCCCTATTATGGTAACTTAAATTAAATTGCTTAACAAGAAGCCAGTTTAGGGCTCAGGGTTTTAACCTAAGCCTCAACCTTCAGTTCATATTCAGATATGCTCGCCGATGCCCCTTCAGGACAACCTCGAAGCAGACTCCTTTGCTTGTGCAGGCTTGCGAGGTAGCCCTGCATTTCTTGACGCGGCTGCCCGAGAAGTTCTTTCCAACTCGCTGATTTGGCCTGACGTGCCCGAATTCTTCAAATGTCCCTGTGGGTTTGGGGTTTTGTTCATGTTTGAGATGTAGAGGTAATGGTCATGAAAGAAGCCACCACACCGCCACCACCACCAAACCAAAACCACCAGCACCTCCCCCAGTCATCAGCATCGGCAACAACATCAGCAACATGAAGTACTAACCTCGCAAAAATTTCTACCCAATTCCTAAAGGCCGAAGTGCGGCCGAACCTTCCTAGTTGCTAGCTAAACCTTAACTTGAACTGTTAAACCAAAGCCCTTACCTGCCAAACCTTAGTAAGACGTAGACCGAACACGCAGACCTTTAGCCTAAACCCAACTCCTGCACCCTAAACCTAAACCCTGAACCCTAAACCCTGAACCCTAAAAACCTAAACCCGAAGCCCTAAACCCAATTCCTCAACCTTGAACCCCTTCACCCCTACACCCCGAAGCTCCAAAATCTTAAGCCCAAAGCCAGAACCCGACAAGCTGAGGGACCCTAACCCCCAATCCCCAAAACCCAAAACCCTAAACCCAAAACCCTAAACCCTAAACCCTAAACCCTAAACCCCCAATCCCAGCCTTTAAACCCGCCAATCCCAGCCTTTTAAGCTCAGCCATGGTGAACTCTAAGCTTCATGGACCCTAACCCCTACATCCTGCGGGCCTAAACCTTAAACCCTATAGACCCTAAACTCTAAACCCTAAACCTCAAACCCTAAAATCTAAACCCTAAACCTTAAACCCTAAACCTTAAACCCTAAACCTGGAACCCGAAACCCTAAACCCTAAGCCTTACGTCTCCTCGATAGACTTCTCACAGACTTAGCTTGGACTTCGTGCAATTGGAACCGAAAAGCAAAACGACCCTGCTTCTAAATCCGAAGCCCTCATTACATCCTACACCGTAGTATGAAACTTTAAACCCTAAACCCTATAAACCCTAAGCCCTGAACTCTGAAACCTACAGAACTTTAAACCCAAACCTCTATATGCCCTAAACCCTAAACCCTAAGCCCTAAGCCCTAAGCCCTGAACTCTAAACCCTGCGTCTTCTTGGTGGAGCCTTTTTAGGTCCAGCACCTTGGCGCACGTTGGAGATGACATCCGAGTGCCACCAGTTTGCCCGCAGGGCCCTTGGTTTCAAGGGTCTAAAGTTTAGGGTTTAGGGTTTAGGGTGCTTTTAAAGGGTTCCCTAAACTCCTTCGCTGTGTTCTTTGAGGGTTCCGCTAGAGTGTTGCATGGTGCTTTTGTAGTTTGCTTTTTCTTCATGGTTGAATCAAGCTTCAGGATTCAGGGACATGGTTCGCTACTTGCGCCACTGGTCTAACATAGAAGCCTTAATAATTATCTGTACTCTTCTGGGGGGGTTCCTTATTATGGATCTAGTATAAGGGGGACCAGAACCCTACTCTAATTATCATAAGGCCCCTAAAGCCTAAACCCTGATGGTAGCCCTTATAGAACCCTTTAAGGAACCCTCTAAAGGAGCCCCCCAAAGCCCTAGTCGAATTATGAAGGCCCCTACACCCTGAAGCAATGACCTTTTGACCGCTTGGGTGATTTGCTGCTGGCGTTGTGGTTTAGGGCCTACGAAGATGTTTGCTTTGCCTGGTCCAGCCAAGGGGTTCTCTGCTGTAGGGTGTGCGGTCTTGAGTAACTACCGCCAAAAGGCGGGTCCGGTTCCCTCGAAGGCGAGGGCAAACTTATGGCCTTGCCGCAGAACTTCGACCGCTCTGCAAGCTTCATGACTGAGGGAAAGCGCTTCATCAAGTGGTTGCAGAGCGAGGGATCTCTCAACGAAAGCATCGTGGTCGAGCTCTGGGAGCCTGCCTGCCTCAGCTTTCGCTGCCTCGCCCCCCCTTCTTCCTGTGCACGCAGGCCACCCGCTGATAGCAGCTAGCGGCTAGCTTTCCACGTGCTGTCCCCCCCCTACGCAGAAATCAGCTGTCTGGCAGGCATGAAGTGGAAACGCCGCACGGTCAACGCCGAGCGAGCCTTTACCGTGAACTGCCCTTACTTCATCGCCGCAGGGGCTCTGCACGTGGAGGATATCCTGGAGCTTTGCGTGTCTTCCGATCCCCTCGGTGTCCGCGGGCGCCTCGGGCCCTTCTACGCACGCCCGACCTTCAAGCGGGCCGCCAAGGTTGAGCGGGAGGCCTGGCTATCTCCGCGAGCCACTACGGCCTGCATGGAGACCCTGTTGCGCACCAAATTTACGAGTTTGTGGAAGGCGCATGACCCAAAGCACGGCAGCTCCCCGGCGGCGTTCGAGGAGTTCCGTGGCTACGACTTCCGTGCCTATACATTGTCCGAGGAGGCCAGGGAGTCCCTAAACCTTAAACCCTAAACCCTATAAGCCCCAAACCCTCAACCCTGGATTAAAGAATGTGAGCCCTAAACTTTCTCCTGGCCCCCGCGCTGCTGACAGTTGTGAGTTCTGGAAAGCTTAGTAGCAAATCTCTGTGGTGGACTTCAGATTTAGGGTTTATAGGGCTTATAGAGTTTAGGGTTTAGGGCTTAATCGCTTCCCCCTAATATTAAACGCCCCTCCCCCCCCTCCCTAATATTAAAACTGAAATCCGGCGATTTAGTTTTAATATTTGGGGGGTTTCCGGCGCCTACGGGTTATGACTGGGATCAGACTGTAGCCCCTGAGCCTTAAGAACCCTAATTACAGCCGCGAGCCTAGAACCCGGCCCTGAGCCCTACAGCCTTAAGCCTTACGCCCGAAGGTTTAACCTCATTACAACCTTGAGCCATAAAGCCCTAAAGTCTTAAACCGTGAGCCCTTGACCCCTAAAGCCCCGGTCCTTTTGGTTTAGTACTACTGTA